GGTTGTGTAAGTGTGGCTTGGTGGGTGTGGTGCAGCTTGGTAGGTGTGGCTTGGTGGGGATGGCAGGGGAAAGATACTGTAAAAATCTCCATTCCCTTCCCACTCCAGGGGAAGGTTACTGCAAAATCCCCATTTCCTCCCGATCAGCTGGGACTCAGGGGGCAGAAATAGATGGGGGCAGGGCCAGTGAGCAGTGGTATTTACTGGTTCTCTGAGCTACTCAAAATTTCCACTATTGGTTCTCCAGAACTGGTCAGAACCTGCTGAATACCACCTCTGATGTGTGTGTGTGTGTGCGTGCGTGCGCACATATGTATATGCATATCAGTATAGGTTGCTGCCAGCATTACTTCCAGTTTGCAACCTGTGCACAATGTGTGGGCGCTGCACAGAGCAATTTACAGTGAACTGCGCACATGCAGTCACTAAAATTCAAAATGGCACCACCCAAGCGGTAGCGAGGGAACCAGTTCGGGGGCGTGTCAGGCCTGGGTCATTGCCGGTTCTGTGAGCCAAGCCTGAATTCCACTACCGGTTTTGCCGAACCAGCAGCAATCCACCTTTGACACATATGTATACGCATGTATGTATGTATCTGGTAGCTCAATGAATTATTCTTGATGAGGACTGAATGATGAGGCTTTAAAGATTTGTTTACATAAAAAGATATGAGAAGAAGAGATACCTTGTTGTAAAGTGATACATTATTTTATTTAAAAAATGAAAGGAATACCAATATTCTTTGTTCTTTTGTTACATTTCCTTTGTTACCGTTTTACTTCTCTAAAACATTCTTTTTCCTGAATTCATACCTTTTTCTTTCTCCTAGTTTGTATTAGTTTTTTAATACTTGTATCGGTAGATCTTAATAAAAATTATTTGAAAGAAGGAAAATATTTTACAATTATGTGTATTTTAAACCAATCCAAATTTCTTCCAATTAAATGTAAGATGACAATGTAGGTAATTTTAATCAAGTCATGCATCGCTTAGCAGCTACAGATCAATTAATCTATCCATCTGTCTATTTGTCTTATCAAAAAAAGCAAGCTAACTTTACAGGATGAAAAACTGTGTACCCATCTAGCTACTGAAATGCGACTACCTGATACTTTTCTGCACTCAAGAGTGTATTTGCATTCCAAAGGTCTTTGTGGAATTATGGCTGCTAGATAAGAAATAACAGAGAGATAGATTAATTGAT